CCTTCCTGATCTCTCCTAATAATATATCCTTCTCAATTTGAACCAAGTCTTCTTGTATTATCATAAATGTTTGTGATTTTTGTTTTGCGATTTATGTTTCAGGTTGGATATGAATACAATAATCATTATGTTTACTTTATTGAACATTTCTGTTTCTTTATCTGAAAATAGTAAAGAAATCATCAGTATTATTATTATAATTATGATTGAAATAACACAATTTTCTTCCGCAAAAAGTATTCCATATATCAACCCAACCGTTTGAAGCAACCTAATCATAAAAACAAACTACAGACAAATTAATATATTCAGTAGCGAAGTAGGTAATTTGTATCAAGGTAATCATACGCTAGTACACCTGTATCATAACGCAACAAAAATGCAAAGAAGAAAGTTGTGCTTAATCTATTATATGGCATGACGTCGAAGTCTTATGTAAGAATACCAAATATAAATTTTAATGACTGTTTTGCCGTCTCCAACTAATTGGCGAAGTGTTGCCAAATTTCCAATAAGTCATCGATATGAAAGCTTCGAAATTTTGTAATGAGGTTCAGTTTTCATAAAACAGTAAAGAGATATCAAATTGCTCCATGAATATTGATTAGAAAAACTGAGAAACAGAACTGATGTTTGTGGACTATTATTTTGTCAGTTTTAATTGGAAGTAATGTTTTCGCTCGATCTACGTACTTTCTTGAAGAGAGTAATTTTTGGTAATTTTTGTTCAACGAATATAACTCTGTCAAGTGTCAAACAGCAAAATGCCCAGATCTCGATGGATATGTTAGTATATAGTTCAAAATTTTTCTCTGAAACGAAGATTTCATACATGCAGTCGAACCACACTAAAATTGATCGAGTACCAGAGTGGTTCGTATTCAAAATTGAAAATGTAACAAGAAATATTTTGTTGATATTTAGTCATTTCAATAATAGCAAGAGCCGAATCGATCTCTCTACGAAATCCTTCATCACTAGGAAGGATCGGTTGTAGCTTAAGAAATGATTTTATGGAACATGTTCTTCCTTACGAATCAGTAGATAGTTGTCTTGAAAATCTTGCGAAGAAAATTGGATTCGATAATTTAGGAAACACTCGCTAAATGAATAGCATTTTACAAGCATTTCGTGATGAAAATTTTGACAAAGAGGTTTCAACGATGAACAAGAACGAGAATGTTTGAAGGTGGTTGACAATGTTTCGTGGTGTATTTCATCACTTCGGACTTCCATTATTTAATAAAATATAAATTTATTTGAAATCCCTGAAAAAAAATTTCAAGTATGAATAAGGATAACATCATACGTATTTATAGTAATTCCAAACCAAGTTACGTCACGACGTTTCGATTGTTAATATTCACAAACGTCTTCGGGTGATAACTGTTATCACCCGAGAGATAGTGTTGTCAAAATTGTGTGTTGAGTATTATTTTCATTCTGGATGGGGTTTGGCAAACGATTTGTCATTACATATATCTCTTTCATGTTTCCAATAGAGTAGATTACCTGTAGATTTGATTCAAATTCATATCATTCATATTTGCTGGAAATGAAAATCAATGTTGAAAATGATATATTTTCCGATGCATTTTTTGATAACCTAAAAAAAAGTATTCTATATTTTTGATTTGGTTTTGCACATTTACGATAAGCGAATTGCATAAACATACTTCTACCCACGTATCTACCCTCGAAACATTTACAATTTGCATAATAATATAGCTGCGAGACACACCTTGTGACAGACTACTTTGAAATACCTATGTCGAAACCTCAATTATCTCAAATATTAGCTTTTTTATGTTCGTACTTATCATGTTAATCAATTTTGTCGGTTAAATTAGGAAATATTCATCCATTCCACAGTTTATTCAAAAGAAGTTTTAAAATTTACCAATCAAACGATTGTAACTGCACATCAGGGAAGTTGTTGGAGGCTGGCGTCCGGTTCATAAAAAATTATAGGTGATGGTTCTACACCTAAGACAACACCGAATTGTTATTTCTTGTTCTAGTAGGATTTCTAGAAGGTATATGGATGTTCGTGTGAATCCCAGTTTCATTGATGTCCAGTTTCACGGACATTGTAGATGCACGTCATGTCAGGATTAAATGATTTTAGTCTCTTATCTCAGTATATCTGAAAATCTTTGAACTTAAGGTTTATCAATACCTTATACTTTTGGTATTTGTGTGGGCTCCGGACGACGTAAACTCAACTAAAAGTGATGTATTTTAAACCCAATCCAATCTTCACCTACAATTTGTTTGGCGTAGTGATACACAGGTTGATTCACGGTGGATGGCACATTAGACGTTTCTGGTGAACCAGACAACGGATCACTTTGAAAATTTAATGGAGGGCATATTCGGACATTCTCTAGCCAACTAAAATATTTTTGACAATGCGGTGTTGCCGCTTCTATTAGAAAGCAGTAGCAACTTTGATTTTTCAAATGGAACACTCTGTATATAATATTATTTTTGGAATCTCCAACAATTGCCCGACAACTTTTCTTGATATTTCCCTATACCTATCTGTTACCGTTTTCGAAATAAAAATTAATTTCAATTTTTTTCTTCGAAAATCATGACTTCTAAAAATGCCGATATCTTTTAGTTAAGAAGTACTATGATATCGAAATTTGGTTTGGAGTTAGGTGATACTTGGA